ATGGAAGATTAGTTGAAGATTGACTGATCAATTTTTATCATTAATTGTCATATTTTATCTAAAATTGCTTGCAGGGCTTTAAAATGTAACTGCTCTTTTTCTGCATAGGCGGCAATTGACTCTAGTTGTGGTGGTGGGGGCAACATACTTAGGTTAGTTGACACAGTTGATTTTGTCTGTGTATTTGGTCTATTATTTGAATATGTGGTTGACTATGAGTTCAGTTCCACAATAATTGCACCATGGTTTATGTTCTTTTTCCATGAGGTATCCATGTGTAAGATGGGTGTGGTAGATGCGGAGTCAATTGACTATCCCTTCTGTTAAGAAAGGGGTAAGATCAACTGAAGATTGTTTTTGTAATAACTTTTTTATTTGGTTTGAACCAACACAGTTATTTTTATATGCTTAGAAATTCTCATCCTTCTAGTCAATAGATCAAATAAATATGATCAAAAGAATAAAATATGCACTGTAATGTTCTCATGAACTCTAAGTAATAAATCCAATAACTGTTTCAGAACCAATGTGATTGATTGAAGACTTATTTTAGTGCTAGATACTTAGTCTCACTAACAGAATTAGTAACTTCTAAAAGTGCCCTGAACAAATTAAAAATACAGGAGAATTCATTATTGTTAATGAATTTAATCATTGTGTTTAAATATGTAAATATACAAGTGTATTTTAAATATAATATGTACACCAAGTTTATTTTCTTAATTGTTGACTTTTAACATAATACTAATAACAGGCGCTGATGTATGAAATATTATGTATATATATATATATATATATGTATATACATAAATATTCAAATACCATTTATTATAATATTATACAATCATTTTAAATGTGCTCAATGGTTTTGGTTCTACATCAATTTGTTTGAAACATTCACTGATAGAGCACAAATTATATCATGCACAGTAACATTAAAAAAAAATACTTATAAGTTAAGTCTGAGTCTAAAAATTACTTAAATTGTAAATTTAACTTAAAATACGAATCACGTCAGACATATAAAAAAAGGAAAAGTAGGGTTTTCAAAAGAGAGAATGAAATACTGCAAGATTTACAGTTGAATATGAAAAATAATGAGGGATCTAAAGAACACAGCGTATTTGAAAGGATTGAAAAAATGGTATGTTACACACACCCAACTGCAGCAGCTGCTGCCGCGGCGGTACTCTTTTTCTTCAAAACTATGTCCTTGATGTTCAAGTGTACCTTTTCTTTGCGCTGTGGAGGTACTGACTGCAAGCAAAACCGCTTAAATTCTTCTAATTCTCGTTCATCATCATCCATTTCCCCATCCTCCGGGTCTATGTCTTTTGGCTCGAACACGCTTTCTGCAAACGGCCACAAACACACTCATTTTTGGAGATTTACTTTCTCGATCTTAATTATATATATATATATAAAAAGCCTAAGATTTGTTATATTTAATGAGTGTTGCTGTTTTTTAAAAGTTAGATTTGTATTCTAAAAAGTTGTAGTTGTGCTTGTATCATACATTCATGATCATGATATGAAACCATAATTTTAGTTTATTTGTTACAAGTTTTGCAAAAAGGATAATACCATTGGCAGGAACAGATAGAAAATGTTACGTTCATTGGTTTGTACAAGCTAACGATCGAGAAAGCACGGTCCAAATTAATTTGGAATTAACTTAATAGACCCCACACAAGCAATGTGCTTTATGAAATTGTACAAAAATAATATATTTATAATTTATAAATATCAACACGTGCGAGTGTGAAATCCAAAACCATCAAGCAAATTATATTGTATAAAGGATTGTTTTATTTATTTATTTATTTTTTTTAATAGCTGTTAATTATTTTATAGGAAAATGCTTGTAAGTAAAAAAAAAAAAGCCTACTAAGAAATAAATAGTAAGAATACTTTAAATAAATATATATAATTGTCAACAATTATTTTCACAAAATGGATAAAAAACAAAAGAAAACTCAACTCATATCTTTGATACTAACAAAATAAAAGCAGACCTCTAGAGCTACCTAAAGAATAATGATTTTTGTTTTTTTATGTAACAATTGCTAAATATAAAAAAAAAAATAAACAAAAAATGTATAAAATAAAAAACAAAATAAAATCATACTTTGAATATTGGACTGTTATAAAAAAAACTATTATTTGTGTTTATTTATATACAACAAAAATATAATTTAATAATTATTTTTCTGTCCAATGTTCAAACTTCAAACACTGTGAAATAAAAATAGTATAAATTGTCATAACTCATAGAAAAATTACACAAATCTAAATACAAATTTGTATATAAAAATTATTTAATTGTTTAAGCAAATCAAAACACGAGTAAAAGCAAAAGAAATATTAATTTAAAAAAAAATAATAATAACAAAGCTGCAAAAACAAGCATGCAACAAGTTTGAATCTTAATAATCAGGGCTAAAACTGCCATCACCACAAAAAAAGCAGCCTATTATTTCAAGTATAAAATATTTACATTTAATTGGACGTGTGATTTGTACTGTTTGTTAAAACTTAAAATTATATAGGTATTTATCACAAAAACGAGGTAGATATTAGACAAAATTATAGTAGGTGTTTATTCTTAGTATTAAATAATTTTATTATTAGAGGACATTCTATTTTATAAATTATAACAGTTATATATTAATTTGAATACACGCTAATGCTAATAATATTTTCAGATTATTGAAACATTGATGGATACTTTCATCAAATTGATAAGCTGTTCTGTGTGTTAAAACATTGTGAATACTATATTTCAACAAATTATAAATTAAAATACATTCGTAATATAGTCATAGATCGGAATTTAACTAGTAAATGCCATATTTATTTTTATGGTATCATTTTATATTCACTGTTAGTGTTTCAAATAATATTTATTTATTTTATAACTGAACTGTCTATACAAAATAATTCATATGGATAGCAAATTAAAAATGTATGATAAACGTTTTATTAACATTCAAAAGTACTGTTTGTAAATATCTCATGTGAAAACAAGTTACGAAAAATTAGACATGAAAATATTCTTCAATAAATAATATAATACATTAGGTTAATCCCAACATTGATGTCTTATAGAATTTAAGCTATAAGTTAATAATACGAGATAATAATTCAAACAATGAATAAAAAAAAAAAGTATAAAATATATTGTCAGATCTATTGAAATAATAATATTAAATTATAGAAAATTTTAAACTCTGTTGATATTAAATAAGAAATATTTTTAATAACATGTGTATTTCAATTATTATAATAATTGTATAGATAGAATGAACTTCTAACGAATTTTCAATTTAAAATTTAAACAACTAATAAAAATAGTATTTTAATAAGTACTTTAGTGCTCAGGACTTCAAAAGAATCAATACTTTAATATTGTCATTGTTGTTTTATATAATTGTTGTGATTTAAAAGTCAAGAAATAACTTAAATAAATTTCTTTACAAAATAAGTTAAAAAAATATTTTGGGTGATAATTCTGTTCTATACAAGTGTAATTTACTTTGTAGTCATATTTTTGAAATTTWWAAAAAAAAAGCTAGTTATTATATATTACAATATAGGAAAAAATATGATTTAAGGATTTTTCATTTACAGGAAATTAGGGAAGACATCAGCAAAGCTCACCCTCAACATCCGTCTGTTTGGAGCCGCCCTTAACCCGACGGCGACGACGTCTTCGCTTACCAGATGGATTAGCGTTGTCGTCGTCGCCACCGTTAACTTGTAAGTCTTTATTTTCAATCAGAATGGCATCATCATTGCGCTGGTACAGTGGATTTCTTATAGTAACCATACCGCCATGCCTTTGAATAATTACTGGCAACGGCATAGTTCGTGGTGTGTTAGTTGGTATTTGTCCAGCGATGGTCTTACCTTCTGCACTACATGGATCTCTTGTAGATGATTTGTTAGTAATTGTAAAACCTGGTTGAATATTTTCTGAGTTTGTGTCATCTAAACTTCCATCATTGATTTTCTTACGGCGTCTATGACGTTTACTTGCTGCACCACTCCATTCTAAAAGTAAAATTAAGTTTTTATAAATGCAGTCAATAATTTTAAAACCTAATATTTATGTTGTTTTTTATTATTATTATTTTTATTTTTGTATAAATAATGGATTTATAAAAATAATGAATGAATTAAAAATTAGTAGCAAATAGAAAATTATTTATAGAGATTAAATTAWCTGTTAACTTATACATTAGAAACTATTATAGGGAAAACAGAAATTATGAATTAGTTGAAATACAATGGTTAATTTTGAATTTCATCCAAACAAACAACRAAATATGATTATTTTTCATAGGAAGTATATCAATGCCATTGATCTAATTGATCAATCCTTTATTCATCATATTATTGTTATTCACAAATTAAAARTCTGTCAATTAGTTTTATAAATTTCAAGAGTGAAAAATATAGTTACATACATTTTTATCAAAATAAATTAACTAGGCAATAATGTTACAATAAAATGAAAACAGTTTTAAAAAATGTACTCCCTTATATAACAAATGGTATTAAAACACATAATGTTTTAGAAAAAAGAAATAAACAAGTTGTATTAAATGTAAGGGTATAATAAATGTTTCACT